TACAGAGGTCAGCTTTGAACCAGGAGACAAGGTATGGTTGTATAAACCCAGGAAGATCAAAGGGAATTCTCCTAATTTGTCTTCTCCATGGGAAGGCCCATATGACATAGTGGAGCGTCTCTCAGACGTGACTTTCCGGATAAAATGTGGTCGGCGAGGTAAACCAAAAGTGGTGCATGCCAACAGGCTTTGGCGTTATCACGGTCCAGGACATTTCAGTTGGGACGAAGTGGACCACAGAACAAATGACGCTGCTGACGACGTGACACCTGAAGAAGCCACCGTCGAAGAAGAAACTCTACTCAGTTTTGAGAAGGGAATGATGAAGCTCTTGATGAAGTTACTACCACTGATGTGACTGTTACCGATGACAGGACATTTCCTGATGAAGTAGATGAACCCCACGTGAAGCAGAAGCCAACGAGACGGAGATCAGTACGGAAGAAGATACCTCCCGTAAAATTAAGAGACTTTGTTGAATTGTAATTTTGTGTTTGTAATTCTGTACATTTTAATTAAGTTATTGTTATTGGTTTATTATTTGTGGTTATTGTTCGGGACGAACAATATTAAGGAGGGGGCAGTGTTGCGTCAGCGAGTCACATGACTAGTGTGACGCCACGTTTCTAGAACTATCCCGTACCTTGGCGAATGCTCTAGTATTTACTAGATAGAGGGTAGTCTGGTATATAAAAGAGGGTGACAACGTGACGGGAGAGTAATTGAACTGCAGTCACAGGGTATTGTTGAAGATAACGTTCGTTCGTTATAGTGTTTGTTATAGCGCGAATGTTGAAAATAAGTGTATCGTAAAGTTTTATTCGGAAATAATAAACCAGTTTTATTAAGTAAATATTTGTGTCGCTAAAGTTTCGTAGGAACGAACTTACGGAAAGTTAATTAACAAACGGAGACGTAACAGTATGATAGACGTACGTTAGTTTGAGTTTCTGTTGAAACATTGTTTTGAAGTTAGGCCTTAACGTGAATGTAGTCTGTAGCAAACGTTATTGAAAAATAAATGAATACTTCGTATTATGTTTATCAAATAATCCAAAAGAACTTGCTCAACGATAGAACACGTTACAACAACATTACATTTTTAAGGTTTGCTAGGCAAGATTGTTGTAGGGTTCATAATTTAGAATATGTTTAAGTTCATTTTTGAAATGATGGAATATGTATCGCATTTTAGACTTGCATTCTACGATTGCGAATCAATTATATATGAACGTAATTAAAAACATTTAAGAAATGTAGTATTCCAACACGATGAAAAGCAGTTTTAGTTTTTATTATAAAAATATATCAAGTAGAGAAAATAGGATGTTAGATGATGCTTTAGTTACAGAAGTTGTGTAATATTGCCTTTCTGACGATAACGCATTTGAAAAACGTTTCATTACTTTTTTATCTTATAATGTTCATACTTCCTTTTTTGTGATGCTTAAGACTTAACTCAAATCAAAACCATTAAAGCACACCACCTTTCTATATCTTGATATAAATAGCTGCGCCTAGAAAGTTACTTTATAAAATATTAAAATTTTAGATTCTGCATATCTTAAGTTTTTAAAACGTTACTTAAGACATTAGAATGTAAAAAGTGAAACTTGTAATACAAACCCCATACACCACAAGGTTCAAGGCTGACACTTTATTAATCTCTCCTGTACGATTGTTAATAGTATCGATTTCTTCCAGAGGATAAGCTGCACATGTTATGTTTCCCAGCTGCCAGTAGATCTCCCTCTGGATCTTCAGAATGTGGAAGAACATCTAGAGTAAATACAATAATTTCTCTAAGTTTACAGTTAAGCCGAATGTTCAATTATATGATAAAAACGATAGATATGTTACGTATCTATTGTTAATTTCCGGTATAAATTATTTCCGAGGAACTTCAGCGATACAAGTTCCTTCTTGATTAAAACTAGTTTATTCTT